TGTGTGTGTGTGTATATATATATATATATATATATATATATAAACAAATCAGTAGAGTTATACTAGTTGTATCAGGCTGTTGTATTGTAATTCTGTACTTTTGTATAGTTTTTATGTATTTTGTATAACTCCCTCTCTCTGTGTGTGTGTGTGTGTGTCAGAGCACATCCCAGCGGACCTGCGGGACCCGTTCTACATGGATCAGTACTGCGTGGAGCACATCAAGCCTCTGGTGCTGTCGCTGCTGCTGTCCTCTGAGCTGTACTGCAGGGTGTGTGGGCTGCTGCTGAAGGGCGACCAGGCGTCTGCGCTCACCTCCCATCAGGCCGTCATCCAGACGCTCGCACGCCGTGGGATATGTGTCAGAGAAGCAGACAACACGCCCGTCTCCTACGACGACCTCTCCTCCACCCCCATTAAGATGGTGTGATTTCCACCTTTGACTTCTTACCTGAAGATAGTGCCGAGGTTACAGTGTGTCTAATAGAGTGCAACAGTCCGCTTCCAGAAGTAAAATCACATTAGGTTTACACAATAATGTTTAAACCTTAAAACAGACCTTTCCACCTTTTTAAAATATCATGTTTAATTGCTGAAGAACCAAACTACCCATAATCCTAAATCAAGATCAATCAATCAGGAAATCTGCTATTTACCATAGAAACAGAAAAGCAGCAAAATAAGATAAAACCATAAAATATTTCTGTTTTTTAAATAATATTCTCATATATTTATATTTATTATCTTATATATATTACATTTTATTAAAAAAATTATAAATAACTATATAGACATGCTTAAAGAAACCCAGAAACGAAGGGGGAAAAAATCCTGTAGAGAAAATAGCTGGGAAAAATACTTCCTAAATGAAGGCTGCTGAAAGTGAGCAGTCACTGTTGCACTCTGTTGTTTATCTCTGTGTGTGTGTGTGTGTGAGAGATTTGGAGAGGTGTATCTAAGGACAGAACTCGGGCAAAGTAGGACCATCTGTTCAAAACCTGCTGGGATGATGGAGCGCCACGGCCAGACGTGTGTGTGTTTGTAGGTCATTGGAAATATCCATAGTGTTTCTCTAATGGACCAGCACCCAAACACAAAGTCTCTTTTAGTTTCCATTAGCTAACTTTCAGAATGATTATACTTATGAGATGAGCAGCCATGAGCATCACCACATGACAGCACAACATTTACTCTTTTGTTGTTCTAGGACTAAGAAAGAAATATGAAATTTTATCAATTCCATTTATTCTGATCAAAATCACTGGAAGGTTCATCAGTCACATTGCAGTTCTGATTTCCAAACATGTAACTTCACAGCAGTTTAGTTTTATTTATAGTACATTATATATTTATTAGTAATTATTTATCAGCATTTATTAATATTGAATTAGCTTTTATTTTATACTGTCAGTTTTTATTTTAATTTTATTTTGATTTCAGTCAGTTGCCAAGGCAACATTTTAAATTTTGGGTATTTTTTTTAAGTTTAGGTTTAAATTTTTTTTTTTTTTAATCTTTGTTTATATTTTATTTAATTTCAGCTTCATTTCAGTTATCAAAAGTTTGTTTTAATACAATAACACTGCTCCCAATGAAAAAAAAAAAAGATTTAATATTGAAAGCAGAAAAAAAAAATTGTTTATTATTTTAAATTTATTATTTATTTATTCTTGTCAAAACAAAAATTTGGGTTAACTTTTCATTTATAAATTCAGAGATAAAATCTATAAATAGCTTGAATATTTGATTTCCACATGTTGGCAGGAATGAAACGTATGGTAGTATTGTGAATATAGTTGTTATTCATATGCAGAATCCTGTGTTCAGTTGTATTGTTTTGTGTTTGTGTGTGTAGAGTTCTCATATCCCGCTGATAGACGCTCTGATGATGGCGTATACGGTGGAGATGATGACTGTAGAGAGAGTTGTGGCGAGTGTGAAGCGCTTCTCCACCTTCTGCGCCTCTAAAGAGCTTCCCTTCGACATGGAGGACACCATGCTGTTCTGGATCAACAAGGTCAGTGTTTCATTCCTTTAATCAGGACATTTAAGTTCAAATATAATGTTAGTCAAGGTTTCTTGCACCAACATGTTATAATTTTGTTTTTTACTGTCATTTTCATCCTCTCTCTGAGCCTTAGAAATAAATGTTATTTTGCTACTGTACCTTTAAGATGTTTGTTAAAATGAAAGAAACCGAAATTATACTGTACAAACTCTTTGTGAAGATCATCTACACAAAACACCCTAAGATAAATGAGCAAAATGAACACACAAAAGATTTAGAAATTATTTATAAAGGGGTTTTTTTAAGTTTCAAGGTTAAAATGGAGTAAAAAGCATTATGAATTTTCTTTTTTTCAGGATTTTTTGATGGATAGAAAGTTCAAATGAACAGAGTTTATAAATGTATTTAATGTCCCTTAACTGAAATATCAATGTATAAAAAAGAAACTACTAAACATGTCAAAAACACACAAAAAATGTACTAAAACTTTAACTAAAATGAAAATGAAACCGAAAATATAACAATAAAAACTATAATAGTATCTCAGTGATATTAAAAAAAACTCTGTAGGAAACTAAACCTCTAAAGTTGAATCACAAAAAAATACTTATGTTGTTGTATTGAATATTGTTTCACTTTTTTTTATCACCAGTTAAACAAAAAGATTTGAGAAGTGACCTACCTCAATCAAAAGATGTGAAGGAGTAGGAAGTAGGCCTGGGCAATAAAACGGTATCGATATTTATCGACGGCACACCTTCTTCGATATCGATAGAAAAATTGTTCGATATAGGCACGTGCTATGAGTGACGCAGACCGCACACACAAACACGAACATGAGGGCTGTGCCTGCCTGTGATGAGGAGATTGTGAGTAAAGAATGAATATTAGTCGAATTTAAAATAAACATGCATTTGAATGTTAGGTGTGCATCAGGGAGCGTCATCAGTGGCGCACGAGATGCGGTGATGAT